TCGAACTGGAAGTACCGTCCACTGGTCCTTTCCGGCCAGGGCTTAAAGTCTGGGGGGTCTCAGGGGGTCTCGACCCCCCACTTATTTTAACGGATGGTCTGAGACCCTCCTCCACAGCCCCGGCATTAATGAAATCAAAATCTTATCTTTTAATAATATAGCTTGTTTTCAGGGATGTGACATTTGGGGTTGAGGGTTGCAGGTACAGCGTGGACAGAGTCAGCAGTGGGGTTTATTTTATGTGCATCTATTACATCTCATCAAAAATCCCCCCTTTCCCCTACCCTCTTGTAGGGACCCCCCTCAATTTACGTGGACTTTAAGCACCGTTCCTACCTGTAAAGTGTGCACCTCCCGGCAATGATGAGAGGTATTTTCTTGACAGCCTTTGACGGCCAAACCGGTTCCCATTTAGTCACGCCGCCCAGAATATTTCCACTTGGTTAAACTATGCCACCTCTTTTAAGTATAACAAGTGCTTTGTCAAGTTACGGTTGTCAAAGTACCTGTGTGCCGAAAATCAGCACCTCGCACAACCAGATTACTACACAACAGCTGACTGCAAAAGCCTTTGACGGTCAAACCGTGTGTTGGCCGGCAACTTGGTTTTCTCGGCTTTGAAGCCACCTTTCGTAAAGTTGGTTCAATTGGAAGTACAGTGCACTAGTCCCTTTTTACCTGTAAGGTCTCCATCTCCCCCGACGCGTGCATATTCTCTTGGCAGCCCTTTCACGGTCAAAACCGTTTCCCCATTCAGTTACGCCGCCCAAACCAAATTTCCACCTGGTTTCCCTAGGCCACCTAATTTTGGTATTACGGTGGTGACAAGTTGCGGTTATGTCCAAGAACCTGTGTGTCCAAATCTGCACTTCGCACAGCCCGGTTATAACACAACATTTTGGGTCCAATATTGGATATTCCTGACAGCTTTATTCCCTTATTTGTTTGAACTATAACTTTCACACCTGCTGTCTTAATAAAACCTGGCCCACTTAGAGCACAAATTTAGTGAAGATCTCACTCGCCTCCAAATATCATCGTCCCAGCAGTCCTACGTTTACCAAGACGAGCGAAACAAATTTCCCACTGAGAGCAATTATGGTGGGGGCCATCTTGCTTTTTGGAAAAATGCTCAAACCCCTTTTTTTACCGCAACTAAAGAAATTACCCCTAATAACGACTTGAACTCAATATATAAGAAGCGGAGAGCAGCTAAACGCCCTTCTTAAATCTTCCCCAGCACTCATGCAACGTCACCCTCAACTTATCGGCTCAAAAATCAAAAGTTCCGTCCGTGCGCGCTTCCGGCGCCACAGCTTCGCACGCGAAAAAGCGCCGCAGGCTGCTGAGCGCGCCTCACTGTCGAACGCCAGCTTCTCCACCAGCGGCGCTACGCGCGTTTTTCAAAGCGCCCCCTATAGTTCCCGCACGGAGTGTATACTGTGCTGTGCAGGCGAAGGCAACGCCATGCGAAGTCAGAAATGGCGAGGGCTAGAAGGGCGAGACGGAAGAGGGGGGGGGGGGGGGGGACAATGGATGGCGAGTGGAAAAAAAGTGAGCACTACGAACGTTAGAGATGAGAGGAGGTTTATCTCCTTCAACTCAGCCTTCATAGTGCTTGCCCCTCCTCCCTTCGCCTGGCGCTTGCTTTGCCTGTACTAAACACAACTAGTGACACGGAATATAGAGATAAAAAATTTCCGGAAATTTGGTAGGTTGAAAGACAACTACGAACGGAACATTTTCTAGGAGTTTTCAAAACATTAGAAAAATTGTGTGAAAAGGAACACTCCAAAAATAATATAAAAGTTAGGTTCAAAAGTCAGTAACGTCAAGAGTTTTTTTTTTTTTGCGAATTCTTGTTGTATTTATTATCATATTCTATTAATTATTTTGGCGTTAAATCGAACTTTTGTCAATTTAGCGGATTCTTCGTTACTCGTCGGGCAACTGTTAGCAGCAGAGGAAATCCGATCCAAAGGGGAAATCTAAAAGAATCCAATCCAATCGACCAGTAGATCCTTTTAGCTTTGCGAACCCTGGTGCGCAACGCGCTCAGTTCTCGAAGCTCGGTAGCGGCGTTTGATTTGGATATATTTGAACTTTCAGGTGTGTACCATGGTGAGACCACGTTCAAATATGTGGGTAAACTTCGATTTGCTAAAGAATGGTAAAAGGCTAGCTGTGCGTACGTTGTGTTGTGCCAAGTACGAATGACCAAACGCGACCAGTTCGAGACTTCGCATCGCAAGATATTTAAAGTGCCCTCTAAACATTGGACCTGCGGCAGGATCAGTCAAATCGGCAAAATCGGAATCTGGAATGATGTTTCCTTTAAGAAGAAACCCTTCGGTGAATGTTGTGCGGCCAGAACGTCCACTGCCTGATAACAAAAGCTGAAACTCTCGAAGAGAACCAGACAGTTATATCAAGCAGCGTACTTCTATATAACCACTTGTGGGCAGAATGACACCGAAGTACCAAAGGAAGCTTGATGATCCCCTCGAGCGAGCGATATATTCTAGTGGAACGCCTAATCGTCAGAGAGAGGTTTGTCTTGATGCGAAAGAAGTGCTGTCCAATCTCGTTGAATACAGAACCCTTTCAAGTTCGTGGTCAAGCAAGAAACTAGACGAATCGGCAAAGCATATTCCACCATTGGTGGCAAGAGCTGTGTGCATCTGAGCCTCTGACACCAAGTTGTGGTCACCTATTTTAATTTCCACCATTCACTACTGTGTGCAAACGAAACTGATCAAAGTTCGGCTTTGTCCAGACCAAAAGCGTAGAAACAGCCTTAAGGGACACAGAATGCAAAAGCTGGTGTTTGTGCGCTCCAACTTCGGTCGGAAGAGATTTGATCTGACATACAACTGTGGAAATGACTCAAGCACGGCGTAATAATAACCTTAATTAGCCTACTGGTTTGGAACATGCTTCTTGTTTGAGAAAATTAATCTAGTCAGCAAATATCTACTTGATCAATTCCTGAAATTTCTTTCATGTTTGGTTCCGTTCTGCTTGAAATAGCAGTTTTACCCTTGGAAGAATGAGGAAAACAACGTACAACTTGCTCTATTATATATAAAAATCGTGTATTGCTTTTACTTGAATGGTTAACTTGAATCGATAATTCGTGTATCATGATGTTATCTTACTCAAAGGTATGCACTTTCCGGTGCAGTAGTGGATACTTGACTGTGTATTACGGGAGCGGAGCAATGTCTTCGTTGACTAACATCGTATTCTGCTGTTAATACAGCAGTCAAAGCCGTATTGTTGGGAAAGCATGTCAGATGTAAAATAAATTGCTGTCTTGGATGCATGCAGATATTAACGCAACAAATAGCAAACAGCACTATACAACCTATGGCTTCTGTATTTTAAACGTTTCTAAAACTTATTTTAATATTACTTTTTTAAACCTTTTTTTGTTATTATTGACTGCCACGCGAGTCATGCAGGACAGCGAGAAAATTGTTCATACTCGTTAGAGCAATGCAAGCAACACCACTACGGAACGAGGAGCATGTGACCTCAAGCACTTCAGCTTCCTACCTATTACCGCTGCCCTACTGTTTCGCTTACTTATAAACCGAGCAAACAAGTATACCGGCTTCGTCAGAGAAACTAAACCCAATTTATTGGTAGGCATTAATAACGCATAGAAACCTCGTACTCCGAGTGAAAGTTGCGTTAGCGGTGGTGATGGAATGATAAGGTTTGGGAACATGACGTTACCTGGGTCAAAAATACAAAACCTAGAAATACTTTTTCTGTAAGCTCACGCCCACCTAGGTCTAAGAATCGTGTAATCAAAAAATAATATTCTGCACTTATATCAATGCGAAATCCTGCTAGCGAGAAAAAAAGCAATACTCCTTTTTTTTCTTGGCTAGTGTTTTTTTTTTTCTTTTTTAAGAAATAAATGCAACAAGCTTTTTTCCCTGGTGCGGAGCGCAAATTCGTCTACTTCTTTTGCAGGGATTGTGTTGACGTCAGGACGACGAGCTCTGACTGGCTTTAATTGAAGAGTAGTGGGTAGACCTCCAAGCGGCTTGCTCTGAGGTCTACCCACTATCCTTTAATCAGAGCCATTCAGAGCTCGGTGTTCTGACGTCCACACAACCCCTGCAAACGAAGCAGATGAACTTGAACTCCGCATAGATAAAGAGAGTCCGGGGGCTGAGGGTAGTACCGCACCGCAGACCGCAGCACGTGCGCTCTAAAAACTCTGTTGAGCCTACTTTCCCGCAAAGCTTTTGAGAGAACTAATCGCTGCCGTGCTAGACGCTGCAATGCTAAACGTGACTGAAAATTTGTTTAGACCTAGAAGAACGATCTGCGCTGCAGTGGCACTACAGACACGACGTTTCACGCGCTTAACTTATGCTTAGTGTAACAGTGTCGACTTTTTTTTTTTATATAAACATATGCCCTAAAATGTCATACACTAAGTTCCCTCCGTAGGTTGCAAGCATTTTCAAATGCTTTACGGGAAAGCAGATGCAGCAGAGTTTTCAGAGAGCGAGGGGGGGGGGGGGGGCGGGGGGAGTGCTCGCGCTGCAAAATCCAGAGATTCTGGGATCGATCTCCGCCCCGTGTCGTTTAAGTCTTAGCTCCGACCGTAACTCGACTCTTCAATCCGATGGAACAAATAGGGCGACATCAAAATTGCAGCGTCACGGTGCTCGTTGTGTTTGTATGTTTGTTCTTACTCCATATCCACAACGCAAAGTAAAGGCTCTCTATTTTCTATCCGTGACTTTTTCCGGCCTGTGATAGCGAACGTACGCGAGAAAACACGAGCCCCATGACGATGCATTTATGACGCTGTCCGATTTTCTTCAAAGAACTGGCGTAGGGTCGTGTATCGCTGCTGCGTGGGCCCCGCCAGACACCCCAGGCTAGCCGCCGTACTGCACTGGCTATATTTTTTATCAACAGTAAAGACAGATCGGACGCCTTTTGCAGCAAAGCAACCCAGAGCTGTCTAGACTTCAGCAATGTGGAGAAAAAAGACGGTCACCTTTCAGACACGGGCAGTAATCTAAGTAGAAGGGACTCTCGGCTTGTACCCCCGTACATCTCTGGCCGGGCGCCGATCTAGGCTGGCAGGTTGTAATTGGACTGCTTAGATCCGCCTGTAGACAACACAAGCCACTCTTGCACAAGCTGTAGGCGTTGCACGACTGGCCTACTTCTCTCGGAGTGGGAGTAGCCTCTTCGTAGTCGACCAGTACTTCTTTCTGCAAAACGTCCAAAACGAGCGAAGTTTAGGCTTAAATAACAAACGAGCTGCGCTTAGAGCGTCCACACTCTATGCCCCGACTTTTTTTGTAGGCGCCACCATTTTTGTGCTTCGTGCAGAGCGGGCGCGATAAACCCTTTCGAAAAGCCCATCAAACAACATTGGCGGTCGCCATTGCATGGACACGAAACGTGTGATGAGACCCGAGTCTTCGCCGAACGCCGACGCGGCCCTCGTGTCCAATACGTGAGTGAAGTATATTCGCGACTCCATCTAACTATTGGTGGCGCCACTCATTTTTGAAAATGGCCGTTATAGTGAGGGTCGGAGATGCGTGCCGCTGTTGAGCCTATCTAGTGTGCTGGTTTCACTGAGCGACACAAATTATTTCTGCTTAAACGAGAAAGCTAGGGTGTTATGAGTGCAGGTCACCCCTTTACCTTAAAAATTAAAACGGTGGTTAGCGGAATATTTACGACAGGATGCGCATTTTAATTCTGGAGCGCAACCGAAACTAACCTCTATTTCGGATTTAATTTTTCGATAGAGGTCTTAATTTCGGATTCTTTCATAACTCGAGATGTGTCTCACATCGTAATTATTTAGTTAGAGAAGTTCTTCGCGGAGACTTTATTTTGTGACATGTTCAATCCAGACTGATATTTGTAGTTGTAGTTGTTGAAAAAATCAGTGCCGATATTTGTGCGTACATGCTGCCTTTTCTCGCACAGATAATTGTCATGGCAAATAATGAACTGCAGGCCTTTTAATGGGTTTTGGGGTATTTAGATGACTAATTGCTTTAACATTATTCCCAGCACAAGAATAAGAAAATAATTCTAATTTTTACAATATGTCCACAAAACGTACAAATTAATAAACACTGTTCTCACCGCAACAACCCAAATACGGAATCATAGTAAGACAGCAGAAGTGTGTGTGTGTGTGTGTGTTTTATAGCAACGCGTGGCGCATAGTACTTCATATTACATTCATTGTTTGACTGTTTGTCTATCTTGATAACGGTGTCAGAGGTTTTCATATGCTAAAAAGAAAACAAAATTATACCTTTCTGGATAGACTATTATGGCGTATTTTCGTTATCTTGGCGTTGATAGGGGCATACATTGCCGCGATTGGTATTAATAATAATATTAAAATTCAGTTATTGTAATGCGTAATTCTCTAATATAATTTGTTGCTCATGATCTAATTTCAAACGTGCGAACAAATATGGCAATCAAAAGCGTGCTAATTATTATCACTGGTGCCATTGCAGCATTTTTAATTACCAACTAATAAAAAATAGTCTAAAATCAATGAAGATATTCTAGCTAATGTGAGAAATTAATGTAAAATTACATTAATTGTGGGTAAAGTATATTGTGCTATAAAAGTCGCGACTCTTGACAATCGGCAAAAACGTCCCAGAGTCGCCGCCAATATCCTTCCATACCAAAGGCCCCCAAATTAATATATATATATATATATATATATATATATATATATTTTTTTTTTTTATTATTATTTATCTTTTTATAACATTTAGTTACTTTCAATTTTATGCTGCGTCGTTTTGCCAATCTCAGCCTTTCCAGTTCGGAGGAACGCCTACCTGCTTGCACGTCTGCTCACTGCAGCAGGTTTATTTGGCGTTAAAAGCCGGTGAAACAGTAGTTAGTTTAATTATTGCGCATACGAGCGAAAGCAAGTGCTGTGTGTTTGCTTTAGCTTTGCGTGTTCAACACTGCGCGTGCGCGGAGCCCAGAAGTGCGGTCATGGATAGCGCATGGCGATGAGGCGCACGCAAAACGTGGGGCACACAACTCTAACGCAAACGCACACCGCTTGCGTTTGCTTCTATGCGCAATACTAAAACTCTCTAGTAAGGTACAATCCCATGCCGGCTGCAGCACTACGTTGGATCAGTGAAGAGTGTTGTTTGCATTCGGAAACGGCATTTCGCGAGCCATGATCGCGAGCAGTTTCGCGGCGCCCGCTGAGCAGGAGAATCGGAGGACCCTCCCGTTTCCGCCGCGGGAGGGCGAGCGTCGAGCTGGAGACGCGAATAATCAAGCAATGGCGGAAAACGATGGCGCAGCCTTTTGAAAAGGGTCTATTGGCCATCGTTGCGATTCGAAAAGGCGACTTCCTATAGGCTTTAGATATGGTGTGAGGAGGATCGAGCGACATCGTTTTCCTCTGTTGCGAACTGTTTCCACATTTATGGATGGCGAAAAAATGTTTTCTGTAATTCCCGGTATAGCACCAGATAACAGGCAATAATGATTTCATCCACCGGGACAGCTGAACTGCCGACTATGACACATCGCGATATATTCTAACTAATAAGATGCTGAGACTGCATATATTTTCGCGTCTTTTCTTTCGCACTCTGTTTGTTTGGCTGTTGCTGATGTGTATGTATACTGGGAGTGGTGGAAATAAACTTTCAGTTAATAGTCAGCGCTGTCGTCTGTCTCGTCTTTACTTTGTCCTTGTCTTCTAGCGCTGTTTGAAACCAAGGAACAATAGACTGCAAGCGGTAATGACCCATTTTACGTAAAATGCAGAAGAAAAATATTTTTTCGCGCGCGGCTGCACACTGTGATTTCTTTCGTTCACTTATATCTAGGGGAGTCTTTGGACCTTTTTTTTTATTAACTGTTCTACTGGCATTTATTGTAACTTTATTTCGGTGCAACTGAAGAATAGAAGGAGACAAAGTCCTTCCCTCTTTTCACTTTGGCAGAGCGGTGCTGCAGAGGACGAGAGCGAATGCTGCAGAAGAACCCAATTTTTGCGGTCGATTTAAAGAGCCTGGCCTCTATTTGAGACACCCGGTAGAAACAGCTGCGGGCGAACCGAGGCCACCCTAAAAATGTAGTAAGATTACTGCTAAAACTACTATATTCATCAACGCGGAAAGGTGAGCATGGTTCTGATCTGTCTCCAGGCAAAAGGGGAGATAAAATAAGAGTTGAGTTAACTGGGATATCCATCCAGTCCTTCTTGAACACTTCCCAAGCACCAAACCTGTTACTAACTTTCTCAATCTATGACTCCATTTCTACCAGCTTCGCATTGAACTGCTTATGGCAACGTGGCAGAATAGGAAGAAGAAAAAAAAAAGAAACTTACGTAATGGTCGTCATTGACAGACTGGGCTCTAACATGGGCCACCAGTGAGGCCGCAACAAAGGTCAGAGCAAGCGCTGCGCCCAGGGTCTTCATCTCCATGTTTTTGTAGTTCAATTATTTAAAATACACAGAAACCTTTTAGGCTAAAAGCAATTCCTGTCTTAATTTATACCCGTGGAGCCCGGCTCTGATTCCGCGCGTGTAGAGTATCACTTGATTAAGTGTTTTATTTTATTTTCTACGAAGTTCGCTCGAATAATTTATGAATCCGAGACCTTCTCAAGGCTGGTATAGAAATGTACCAAAGGTGCGTTTATTTTGAGGTGCTCAAAGTGCAGCTTGCTGACGCGAGCGCAGAAAGGCAGTATGCATCGAAGATGTAGCCTTGAACATCCCAAGCTATATACAACTAAATGTATAAATACATTAGCGCATTTATGCTGCATACTCAAAAGATATAAATGCAGAGAGCTTCCTCGTGAAAAAAAGCGACACAAAAGTCGGTAAAATGGCTGACTTTGAACGCAGTTGCCTATTCTTGGTGCTCTGACACAATCCGATCATATTTCAGACCAACTAAGGTTCGCCCTTTGAGACAGACAACCTATATAAATGTCTAGAAACTCACGTGGAGTTGACTGTTGTTTATCCCATCCGTCAAGGTATTATCAAGTTATGTTGTACAAAGTTGAAGCGAGGGTGCGCGATATCACGAAAGAAACAGCAGCCGTAAACCGCTTAGCAAAATATGTCTCTCTAGTTTATACTAACATTTCTGCACACGCGTTGTTTTGTCAAACATGTTAAGGCGCATGCGCCACATATCCTATGGGCACTCTATTTTTAATATTTAGTGAAGATATTTTACCGTTGCAGTCGCAGTCGCTCTTGTTTTTGTATTTTTTGTTTCGGCTTATTTGCTTTCACTTTTTTATATATTGCTTACGTAATTTTTCTGATTTCTTTTCAGTGTATTTGCTCTTATTCTGGGTTGAAAAATATTGCATATTTTATAAGGTAGATTACGCCCTGCTGACGTAATGCCGTTAACGTGCTATTAAGGTAAGCAATATAAAATTAAAATAAGCATGACTCGCTTCGTCCTCAGGTTTGTGGTGATCTTAGTGACTCATTTTATTCATCGTCGGTGCTTTCCAAGTATGACTCGAATTGGGAGAATCATACCGCAAAGAATAAATAAAGAAAAAAGACGTTTCTCCGTGATCTTTGTTCTTGCTGATCCCGTGTGCCTTGGGATAAATCAAAAATACCAAAGCCGGATGTTAAGAGACCGGTCCAAATTTGTTTAACTGTTTTTCCACTTGCAGAAAAAAAAATGTCGATCTAAATTCATTCGCAGGTTTTGCTAACCATATAAAAAATTAAATAGTTCAAAAAGTTAAATATGTTTTTCCGCAAGACGATTTTTAACGACCAAGATATCAAACCTCTACATTTTCAATATATAAAACCCCTTGACTTCGTTTGAACTTACGTCCAGACGCAATCAATGCTACAAGCGCGAGCATGTGACCCTGAAGAGTGCTTGCACTGCTCGAGCGCGCGTGGTTGGCAGGAACGCTGAAAGCCCGGGGCTCGCTCTTGAATAGCTCTTGCTACGCTAACACTCAAAGTGAAGCGCAGTATGAATAGACCTGTCCATTATAAATCGCAATATATCAAAACCTCTTTAGAGACCTGTTCCCCGTTGCCATCTCTGTTCTGTTGTTCGCAACGCCCTCCTTGGCCACGTGACCTTTTCTTTTTGGGCGACACTTGGGGATGCTGCAAGCAGCCGTCTGCGGAACTACGTAACACGACGTTAGGCGACACGCGGAAAAAGCTGGGCAGTATCGGAATAGTATTTTATACATACTTCTAAGTATCTGTATCTCTGTACCTAGATGCATTTAAAAAATGTACTTCTATCTCAGTAGTAAAATTCATTTACTATATATTGATTGCCTCAAAAGATCCAGTCAGGCTTAGCTATAATTTAATAGCTGCCAGCACAAGAACATTGGCGTGGAAAAAAATGGCCCCGCAAAAAATATCCCCAGAAAGAAGGGTCCCAAGTGTCAAGTACGAAAAAATAGTCAAAAAGGGGTTGCAAAAAGATGTCCCCTGTGGGACGCACTTTGAAGTGGGAGTGGGCACAACCAAAACTTCGCCTGAGACGAGCGATATCCCTTTCAGCAGTAGAAAAGGACGAGAAAGAAGAAAATTCGCCGTCATTCCGTATATGCATGGTGTGGCCCATAACCTCAAATGTATTGCAGGCGGATGCGATGTGGACGTTTTGATCACCGCTCCTGACAAGCTTTCTAGATTGCGCCGAGCCGTTAAAACCTCTGATAGGGAGGCGAGGGCCTGCACTACGAAGCATCGCAATCGTTACGTCATCTGCGCTGAGGTAGTTGTGTATTCCCTCCCTCTGTCTTGCGGCAGGCGTTATGTTGGCCAGACAGGGCGCTGTCTCAATGACAGACTAAGGGAACATGCTTACAACGTCTCTTCGACTGTTTCCGGTCACCTTGGCATACATTGCCGTGACTGCAGATGCCAGCCTCAGTTTCAACAGTGCGAGGTCGTCAAACGTCACCGGGACCAGCTGACACGTGAAATTTTGGAGGCTCTAGAAATAGAAAGATTGGGTGTCATGTGTGTCAGCAGCCCTTCTGTTGCCTTATCAAGGAAGGAGATTCATTTTCTGGCCACTTGATTAGCTTGGTTGTAGCGCGTGCCCTTTGTTTGTCTTTTTAGAGGTGATACTTCGTTTTTTGTGCTTTTGATTTGGGTGTTTTTCAGGCTGATTTTCTTCTTTTTGTTCTCAATTGGGCGTATATATTGCACCGTTGAGTCGAGTAAAAATTTAGTTGCGAGTCAGCGCTCTGTCCGTATCCTTCTTTACCCTGTCCGTCGTTTTTTGCGCTGCTTAACCTTCTAAGTATGTCATACCAACTCGCCCAGACTTCAACTTTAGTTCCAAACCTCGTACTTCATGCTTCCTGCCAGTGTGTGGAAGTACATCTTTATTTTCTTATTACAAAAAATTATTACAGCCCTTTCAACTAGGGCTGGACAATTATGTATATAACCTACCGATTAATCGATTAACGCCTTAATCGTGATCAATTGTTTTCGCCTTTTAATTGGTAAAATTTTGACAAACCTGAAGAAAGTAAAGCTTAAACGCTTTCATCACGCAGACTTGGACGAGCACACCTGTAAGAAGGGCACACTTTAGGTAAAACCTTAACCTAAACTAAACAGTAGGGGCGAGATTTGTAACTTCTGAGAAGTGCAGAAGTTTCCACCTGTCCCGGCCACTTCAATGCCGTGCGAGTGTCCGTTTAGTTCAGCAGAGACTATTGTTAATAACCAAAGGAGGTTGCTCTTGCCGGAGATCATCGACGAACCTCACCTCTTTGCCTCATGCAACTGAAGTAAAAAGTTGTTAGTGTGAGTGGCTTTGAACTATTCGAAATTACACATTGAACATGAAATCCTGGTGAAGCAGGATTTCATGTCAAGGTGACAAGGCCGGCAGGCCACAGTTATGTGCGATCCGAAGGTCACGAAATAAAACTACAAACCGATGCAACCGCAGAAAAAGGGTGAACTTCCGACCAGTCCTGTAACACTCCAAACAAACGTAACCGACAACATAAAGAAAGACGGCGATCCTGCAAACAGCTACGTTGTGGAGTTCAGGCTCCAAACAGCGTGCATAGACAAGAGTTCTCTCCGATGAAGGAAGCTAACGATCGCTTATAACTGAAAAAGGTCCAAAGAACTTGGATGCCTACATTTAGGTTGTGAGAGGCTAACTGTAGGCACATTTGGTGACCATAAATCCGAAAGGCTGTTCAGTCGAGTTTCGGTGACTGTTGAAAACAGAGGCAGCAGACCATTTTTTAAGCTAGAAATTCTCGAAGCTGACCAGATATGTAGGCAGAGACCATTCTATCCATCCGAGACAAAAGTTAGACTGCTGCTTAACATTTTTAAGCTTGTTACATATACAGATATCAGTCAATCGTCAACCAACGCAAGCCCCTGTAGATACTGGAGTTTCCACTTCCATAATCAAGAAAGGCAAAAGTGACCTAAGCTACATATTCAAAGGAAGGGCAGTCATAGTTCGAAGACACGATAGCACACATACCAACATTCAGAGTGAGTGGACACGACAGTCAAGTTCATTTCATTTATTTCATTTATTAATCCTTAAGGGTCCTCTGTCGAGGACATTACACAAGGAGGGGGCAACACAAGAAATTATACAAGAAATGAAAAAAACAACAACATAAAAATTACATAACAACGCACACTCATGCAACGTAGCTAAAATTGCATAACAACGCACTCTCATGCAACGTAGCTAAAAAACTTAACTTGGTGTGGAAAAATACGACATGATGGAGCTTTTGAAAACCACAGGGTCAGTTATTGTAATGAGTGATTCTGGAAGACTGTTCCAGTCCACAATTGTTAGTGGGAGAAATGATTTGTAAAAGGCATTACTGGAACCCGATATACGTTGAAAATTGTAAGAGTTATTGAGCCGACGAGATGACCGTGCGGGAGTGCGCAGGAATGAGCTTCGAACAGTGGGATGGTAGTGGTAAAGTTTATGGAGTAAGCAAAGACGTGCAACCTTGCGGCGTACCTCCAGAGTTAGTAAATTTAGGCTCGTTTTCATGGCAGAGACACTGTTTTTATAGTCATAGTTTGATAAAATGTAGCGGGTTGCTCGGTTTTGAATTGCTTCCAGTCGGGTGATTAAGTAATTTTGGTGCGGATTCCATATTGTAGATGCATATTCCAATTTTGGTCGAATGAAGGTTTCGTATGCAAGTTTCCTAAGCTTTGGAGGAGCAGCATTCAAGCAACGCCGGATGTAACCAAGGGTCCTTGCTGTGTCCGAAGAAATTGTGTTAATGTGATTAATCCATGTCATATCGGAAGTTAGTACGACACCGAGATATTTATACCTATCGACTTCTTCAATGATCTCGTCGCCCAGCACATACTGGAAGGAGGAAGGAACTCTTTTACGAGAAAAGTGGATTAATTTGCATTTAGATTTATTTAGT